GAGGTCTGGCCCGGAGGGCGGTGGCGGGGGGTTGGGTGGGGGCTGCATGGCCACCACGAGACGGGTCCTCAGTGGATGGAGACGTTAAGGTTGGATTTGGGACATCGTGCTTGGTTTTGCATCTTCTTGGTGTCTTCGTTGTCGGGCGTCCTCTCGGGGCGTCTTCCTCCTCTTTGACGTGCAAAAAGGGTTCATCCATCTTGCATCACCTCTTGGTGTCCTCAGTACCCAGGGCGTCTTCATATGTCTTCATATGCAAGATGCAGCCCTTCATCTTGCATCATCTCTTGGTGTCTTTGGTGTTGGGCGTCCTCTCGGGGCATCTTCGTCCTCCTTCCCGTGCCAAAAAAAGTCGCAGAGTCTTGCGTCGTCTCTTGGTGTCATCGGCACCAGGTGGCTTCCCAGATCACACGCAAAAAATATCCCTCCATCTTGCATCATCTCGGGGTGCCCTCAGCACTGGGTGCCCCCCTAGAGCATCTCCACGCTCCTTCACTTCCAAGCCGCCTTCCTCCATCCTGCATCATCCTCTCCTGGTGTCCTCGGCATTGGGTGTTCTGCCAGGGCGTCTCTGTCCTCCTGCAGGTACAAGCCACCTCCCTCCATCCTGCGCCATCTTTTGGTGTCCTCAGCATCGAGTGTCCTCTTGGGGCATCTTCGTGCTTCGTCATGTGCAAGCCACCTTTGTCCATCTCACATCATCCTCTCTTGATGTTCTCAGCTCCAGGTGCCCTCCTTGGGCCTCTCCGTCCTCCTTCACTTACAAGACACCTTCATCTGTCTTGTACCAGCTCTTGGTGCCTTTGACACCAGGTGCCCTCCGTGTTCTTTCACAGGCAAGCCACCTCCCTCTGTCTCATACCATCTCTTGGTGGCCCCGGGTGCCTTCCTGGGGCACCTTCACGCACCTTTATGTGCAAGCCACCTTCGTCCGTCCTGCCTCATCTTCTCCTGGTGCCCTCAGCACCGGATTGCCTCCCGGGGCATCTCCATCCTCGTTCACGTGCAAGGCACCTCCTGTCATCTCAAACTATCTCTTGGTGCCTTTGACGCCAGGCGCCCTCCATGCTCCTTCACGTGCACGGCACCTCCCTCCGTCTCAAACCATCTCCTGGTGTCCTTGACGCCAGGTACCCTCCCAGAACATCTCCATGCTCCCACCTCCCTCCATTCTGTGTCGTCTCCTGGTGTCCTTGGCACCGGGTGCCCTCCCAGGACGTCTCCATCCTCCTTCACGTTCAAGTGACCTTCCTCCATCCTGCATCACCTTTCGGTGTCTTTGGTATTGGGTGGCCTCCTGCGGCATCTTTGTGCTCCTTCACTTCCAAGCCACCTTCCTCCATCCTTGCGTCATCGTCTCTCGTGTCCTCAGCACTGGGTGCCCTCCTGCAGCATCTTCATCTCCCTTTGCGTGCGTCGTCTTTTGGTGTCCTTAGCGCCAGGCTCCTGGAGCATCTTCATCCTCCTCCACATGCAAACCACCTTCCTCCATGTTGCATCATCATCTCTTGATGTCCTCAGCACCAGGTGCCCTCCTGGGGCATCTCCATCCTCCATCCTCCTCCATGTGCAAGCCGTCTCCATCCACCTCACATCATCTCCCGGTGTCCTCACGGCCGGGGGTCCTCCTGGGGCGTCTCCGTGCTCCTTCGCATCCCACCACAGATGCTGCAACTTGCCTGTGCCCTCCCGTCACCCCAGTGCGTGCACCAGCTTGCATCACTGCTCTGCTCCCCACCGGCACATCCTGCTGCTGGGCTCCTGCCCCAGCTCCTGCACCCATGGGACGCTGCTCGTCCCACCACGAGCCCCAGCATGGCTTTGCCATCCAGCCTGGGCTCGGGGACAATCCCTCGCCCCCATTTTCCTGCTCCACTCATGCCACCACCTCTCACTGCGGGCTCGGCCCGGGGGAAACCGCGGCGCTGCCGACTCAACTTCTTCCTTTCCCACCCCGCAGCCAACATGGGTGCCAAGACGGTGATCGCCATCGACGTGGGCAGCCAGGACGAGACGGACCTGTGCAACTACGGGGACAGCCTGTCTGGCTGGTGGCTCCTCTGGAAACGTCTCAACCCCTGGGCTGAAAAAGTCAAGGTGAGGACCGGTGGGACGTGGGGATGCTGGTGAGATGGTGCAGGCAGGGTGCTGAGCACCTCGTCCTCGCAGGTGCCCGACATGGCGGAGATCCAGTCCCGCCTGGCCTACGTGTCGTGCGTGCGGCAGCTGGAGGTGGAGAAGTCCAGGTCGAACTGACCATCGACCGCTTCAAGACCATGGATTTCGGCAAGTTCGACGAGATCTACGTGAGTTGGGGGACAGAGAGGCCGATGGGGTGGCCTGGAACATCGTTTAGGGTGCCTCTGGCCATCAATGGGGTGCCCCAAGACATGGGTTAGGGTTCTCCAGCCATCAGTTGGGGTGTCCTGGCCGTTGATTGGGGTGCCCTGGCCATTAACAGGGTGCCCTAGCTGCTAATGGGGTGCCCCAGATGTGGATTGGGGTGCCCTTGCCATCAGTTGGGTGTCCAGGCTATGAACCGGGTGTCCTGGCCATCAGGTAGGTCACCCAGCAATTGATTGGGTGCCCCAGCCACCATTTGGGGGTGCTCTGGTCCGTCGGTTGGAGTGTCCTGGCCATTGGTGGGGTGCCCCAGCCATCAGTTGGGTGCTCAAGCCATCATTCAGGTGCCCCAGCCATTAACGGAGTGACTGGACCATCATCTGGGGGTGCCCGAGCCGTCGTTCAGGGTGCTTGGGCCATCAATTGCCATGTCCTGGCCATTATTTGGGGTGTCCGGGCCATTGTTCCGGGTACCCAGGTCATCGTTTGGGGCTCCCCGACCATCAGTTGGGCTGTCCGGGCCATTGGTCGGGGTGCCCGGGCCATTGGGCGGGGTGCCGGGTGCCCAAGCCATTGGTTGGGTGCCCCAGCCATCGATAGGGTACTCTTGGCCATCGTTTGGGGTGTCCTGACTAGGTTGAGCATCCCAGTCATCATTTGGAGGACCCTGGCCATCAGTTGGGTGCCCCAGCCATCAATTGGGTGTCCTGGGCCGTCAGTTGGGATGTCCTACCCATCAGTTGGGTGCCCGGGCTGTCATTTGGGGTGCCCCAGGCCATTGTTTGGGGTGCCCGGGCCACCGATGGGCTGCGGCTGCTCTCTCTGCAGGACGTGGGGTACCAGCACGGCAAGGTGGTCTTCGATGGCTGGAGCCGGGGCGACATCATTGAGAAGATGGTGAAGGACCGGCGTTCGGCCGACTTCTATGAGAGCAAACGCATGGACGTGAGCAGGGGGGTGGCACCGAGGCTCGGGGGTGGCGGT